TTACTTCCTCCAAACCACAAATGTAAACAAGCCCTTACTGTCCTGGGTTCCCTATAAGGCTGCTTTCACATTGTTGCACTGCGGTTCAGCCTCACCGCAGGTGCAGCGCAGTGCACCTGCTGGTTAGCTGCACTTTTTCATATACTTCTATTATATCTTGTGGGTGTAGTGCACTTTATGAAAGTGCACCAAAACACCTCTATTAAGATTGAGGTGGAGGGCCACTTCAGAGGGCTGTGAGGGCCACAGGTTGAGCACCCCTGGTGTATGCCATCTTGAAAGCCTAGCAAATTTTTCCAGTAGCTGGTTCCAGCTTTTGAAGCTTTATTTATTATTTTTTAATTTAAATATTTATTTTTCAAAGAAATACAAAAATACATATTTCTACTTCCATTTCCATACATTTAAGAACATCCCCTCTCCCTTTCTATCACAAACCCCAACCTTCCCTCCCCCTTCCTCAACCCCCCCCCCCCCCCACCGCAATTTTATCCTACGTTTTCCACCTTATCACAAAATAAATACTTAAATTCTTGAAGTAAGGAAAATATTCTCAAAAATAATCATTATTACTTCATACATTTAACCTTCAGTCTATATTCTTCCCATTTATTCCATTTCACATAATATGCTCCTAATCTATCCTCTTGAGTGTAAAACAATTTTTCCATCCTACTAATCTGTTCCACTCTATCCATCCAGTCCTCCTCCCCTGGCGCCTCAACTTTACGCCAAAACTTGGGTATCAATCCCTTTGCAGCATTCAAGTAGTGCCATATTCCTGTTTCTTTATATTTCTTAACTGACAAATCTGTACTATGAAAAAGACAGATTTCTGGGTCCAATCTCAACTCTACTTCCGTTATCAACCTAATTTGATGTAGTATTTTCTTCCAGACTATCTGTATTTTTGACACTCCCACCAAATGTGACATGTCGTGCCAATCTCTCCACACTCTCGCCAACACCCAGAAAATTTCTCCACACTCGGTGTAAAATGCTATCTTATCAAACACTTATAATTCATTTCCACCTCACACATACTTACGTATATTCTCGTGAATCAATCTATATATTTTTTTTCTGTTTATCTTCTCCTATCTCCACCCCTAAATCTCTTTCCCAATTTGCTATATACATGAATTTAGTATCTATATCTAATTCAGTGAGAATTTTATATACTTTTTAGCTGTGCCATGTTTTCCATCTCCTCGTGATTCCAACAACCTTTCAAACGCATTCCAATTTTCCCTCGATCTCAGAGGTTTCGGAAGGGTCCCAACAAAATGTTTCAACTGATTATATCTCCACACATCTAATTTAGTAAATATCCCTCCCTCTTCCTTCACCAAATCCCCATATGATTTCAATTCTACTCCTACCATTATATCCCCCAATTGTGCATCTTTCTTCTTAAACCAGCTTCCCATAATCTCCTCTCTACCTGAAAAATACTCTGAGTTTCTCAAAAGCATTAAAATTGAATTAAACTCTCATTTCATCTGCTTATGCATTTTATCCCATACTCTAAAAACATTTAAAGTGTACAAACTTGTGCTCTCTTCTAAATTTCTATATTGTGAAGGCACCCATATACTTTTACTTAAATTATTTCCACTGAGTGTATTTTCAATTTTAACCCAACTTTTCCCATTTGGGTTATGCGTCCAATGAAATATTCTTGCCAAGATTACCGCTCTATAATATCTCCTAATATCTGGCACTCCCAAACACCCCTCTTTATTTCTACTTAACACCTCATATGCTACTCTAGGCTTTTTATTTCTCCATATGTATCTTGTTATCAATCTTTTCATAACTTTAAAATATATCTCTGGAAGCTTAATAGGAACCATTTGGAATTTATATAGGATTTTAGGAACAATTAACATTTTTACCAAGTTTAATCTTCCCATCCAAGACATGCTACCTCCTCTTAATTTCTTTATTTCTTCCTTAATTTCATTTAACAGGGGAATATAATTTGATCTATACAAATATTTATATGTAGAAGAAAAAGTTTCACCCCCAAATATTTTAATTCCTTCTCTTTCCACACAAAGGGAAATTCACTTTGTATCTTTTCTCACTATTTGGGAGGTTTATATTAAATATCTCCGTCTTATTAGGGTTGATTTTTAAATTAGACACCTCCCCATATTCCTTCAACGCTCCCATTAAATTAGGGAGTGTTATTCTAGGGTTTCCAACATAAAACAATAAATCATCAAAAGCAGCTACCTTATGTTCAGTACTTCCTATACATATTCCTCTAATATCCACATTTCTCCTTATTGTTAGCAGCCAGGACTCCAAAGATAAGACATACAACAAAGGGGACAATGGGCAACCCTGTCTTTTTCCATTTGACATCTCAAAAGACTCTGACATTTCCCCATTTACCAAAACCACTGCAGAAGGTATTTATATAATTTTCCTATCCACTCTCTCATTCTACTTCCTATTCCCAAGGCTACCAAAGTATCCATCATAAAACTCCAGTTAACTCTGTCAAATGCCTTTTCCGCATCAACAGAAAGCACAACCACCGGGAGCTTCTCCTTTTTACATTTCTGAATAAGCAATAGCGATCTTAACCCATTATCTCTACCTTCTCTACCCTGGACAAAACCAACCTGATCTCTATGTACCCATTCAGGCATTAGGTCTCTCAACCTATTTGCCAAAACCTTTGCATACAGCTTTGTATCTGTGTTTAACAACGATATGGGTCTATAACTTGAACATTGAGAAACATCCTTTCCTTCCTTATGAATAAGGACCACCTGAGCCTGCAAGGATTCTGTTAGGGATCCAGGTATGACCAGAAATGTGTGGACGGACACAGGGAAGTAGCAGGCTTCAGGAACACAGGCGTATTCAGGCTGGACAGGTGGAATGGTCAGGCAGGCCGTAAGGCACCGTTAGGTGCCGCCTGGCGGTGTCTCTAGCAGCCCACAGCACAGATTTCCTCAGGGCGCGGGGTCTAAGTCCCAACCTGCTATTCACCAGGGCCCCTGATGGTGGGGATGGACTTGGTGCAGACTGGAACCAGGTCGCGACCCCTGAGTGGTTCCGGCTGTGGTAGAGAGCACTGGCAGGGGAGTGCAGGAACGGAGTCTGATGGGAAGAGGCAGGCAGACTTACTAAAGGTGATCCGTGCGGGATGGATGGATCGTTGGGTGAAGTAGGCGTAGTCAGACAGGCCGGGTCGGTATCATGCGGGCAGCGTGATACAGGAGGAGCAAGCAGAGAATGTTCGGGGCCACAAGCCAGGTTCAGCAGGTAGCGGGCAGCGCGGTACCGAGGATCAGGCAGAAGGATGGTCAGGCAAGCCAGGGGTTCAACAGGAGATGGTTAGCAGAGGTCAGGATCAAAGCAGGGTCAGCAACGAGGCAGGAACACAGGATACCAGGTACAGGGGCTCATGGGAAACATACACCAAGGACCTGATCACAGGCCTGGTCATTCCTTAAATACACTTCATGCAATCAGCTTCAGGTGTTGGCTGACTGCAGGAGTGAGCTTCTGGCTGCTGAGAGCACCCGCTGGTCAGCCCTGGCACTGCAGCCCACACGGCAGGTGAGTCCCATCACCAGTGCTGAGTCCATTCCTGACAGTACCCCCCCTCAAGGAGCGGCCTCAGGATGCTCCAAAAAGTCCTTAGTGGGCAAAATATTCCACCGCCCGGGTCAGGTAACTGGCTGGATATCTTACTGCCGGAGTCAACCGGCTGGCTGGGTTTCCTGCTGGCAGACTTCTCTTTATGTAGGGGAACCCAGGAAGGCAGGTCGCTGCACACAGGATTTCCAGGAGCAGGCTGGGAATCAGTTATTGGCCAGTTTAGCTGGACATCAGGGGCTGGCACGTCTGGCTGGGCAGCGGGCAGAGGCACGTCCGGCTGGGCAGCGGGCAGAGGCACGTCCGGCTGGCCACCGAGTCATTTGGCACGACAGCGGGCACTGAGTCATTTGACAGGACAGCGGGCACAGTCACCGGGCAAGTCAGCGGGCACCGAGTCACCGGGCACGTCAGCGGGCACCGAGCCATCTAGCAGAACCACGGGCACCGGGTCACCAAGCTCGACAGCGGGCACCAAGTCATCTGGCACGACAGCGGGCGTGGAGTCATCGGGCACGTCAGCGGGCACAGAGTCATTTAGCAGAACCGCGGGCACCGGGTCACCAAGCATGACAGCGGGCACGGAGTCAGCGGGCACCGATTCACCGGGCAAGTCAGCGGGCACGGAGTCATCGGGCACCGAGTCATCTGGCACGACCGCGGGCACCGAGTCACCGGGCAAGTCAGTGGGCACCGAGTCATCTAGCAGAACCACGGGCACTGGGTCACCAAGCTCGACAGCGGGCACCGAGTCACCAGGCAAGTCAGCGAGCACCGAGTCATCTGGCACGACAGCGGGCACTGATTCACCGGTCAAGTCAGCAGGCACGGAGTCATCGGGCACCGAGTCATCCGGCACGACCGCGGGCACCGAGTCACCGGGCAAGTCAGCGGGCACCGAGTCATCTAGCAGAACCACGGGCACTGGGTCACCAAGCTCAACAGCGGGCACCGAGTCATCTGGCACGACAGCGGGCATTGAGTCATCTGGCACGACAGCGGGCACCGAGTCATCTAGCAGAACCACGGGCACTGGGTCACCAAGCTCAACAGCGGGCACCGAGTCATCTGGCACGACAGCGGGCACCGAGTCATCTGGCACGACAGCGGGCACCGAGTCATCTAGCAGAACCACGGGCACTGGGTCACCAAGCTCAACAGCGGGCACCAAGTCATCTGGCACGACAGCGGGCACCGAGTCATCTGGCACGACAGCGGGCACCGAGTCATCTGGCACGACAGCGGGCACCGAGTCATCTAGCAGAACCGCAGGCACCGGGTCACCAAGCTCGACAGCGGGCACTGAGTCACCAGGCACGACAGCGGGCACCAAGTCACCGGGCAAGTCAGCGGGCACTGAGTCATCGGTTACCGAGTCATCTGGCATGACCACGGAGCACCGAGTCATCTAGCAGAACCGCGGGCACCGGGTCACCAAGCTCGACAGCGGGCACCGAGTCATCTGGCTGGATCGGGTCATCAGGCCGGATCGGGTCATCGGGCATCAGGGCATCAGGCTGGACAATGGAAGGCGGGTCCTCAGACAGCAGGCTGACCGGTTTGGATACTGGTAGGATGGTACTGGTTGGAAAGAATTTTCGCTCCTTCTTGGGTTTAGTTACCGGAGCACTGTAAGTGAATGCAGGTCTGTAAACGGATGGAGCAGCTGAAGACAGGGAAGAGCCGGAGGATGGAACAAAGGAGGGAGCAGTTGCTACAGAGGGCTTCTTTACAGGGTAAAAAGGCAGGGTAGGTGCAGCGAGTGGGAGCAGGGGACTGACATGTGGTAGCTAGCAGGGTATACTGGGCTGTCACTGGGGGTGCTGTGGGAACTGGAGGAAGAGAGCTTTGAGGAGAGTAATGGTTAGAAGCAGGACTGGGTTGTTGCAAGCTGACTGAGGCTGGATGTAACAAATCCGACCATGTCTGCAGTACTTGCTGAACAAAGCTCAGCTTACACAAAGCCCATCTGGTCAAAGACTGCACTGCGTTTATACAATCCCTAAGCACCTGTTGTGAACATGCAGAATAATGCTCCAAGAAGCAATCCACATCATCCTCTAATAACCATACCAGGGAGAAAGCTGTTCACTTGCAAGTGGACCTTGTGGCTACACTGAAAGCTGCGAGTGGTGCATTGAAAGAGAAATACGCAAACGAGGAGAGATTCAAGCAAGCAAGAGATAAGTCAGTAGTAGTGATGAGGGGCCATGATGGTGGTGTTATTTCTTCAGAAGATTCGTCTGATCCTGCTGGAGGGGGCTCTGCAGCAGGGAGCAAGCAAGATGGCGGAGCTATGGCCACTGGAAATGTGGTAGGAGAGTCTGCTCCCATCCCTCCAGGCAGCCTGAGCAGGACTGGGTGGCTCAGGTGTGCAAGGTGAGGAGGAGGGGGCTATGGAGTTCATTACTGAACTAGAGTCTCCACTACAGGGAAGGAAGTTTGCATTTATCTCAGATGACACTGACGCAGAAATGGATGTCTGTCCCAAACCCATGAGGACAAAACAGAGGGAGAAAGCGGTGTATGTCAGCTGGAAAGGATGTCCAGTGAAATAGAAAGGGCTGCTGGCTTGGGGACTGTGAGAGGAGTTGTGGTAAAGCCGCAGGACTTACACAAACCTGGGACTGTGAGTAACATGGACGGTTCTGAGGGAATAATTGTCAGTATGTCTGATAGTGCAGCTGCTGTCAGGGCGGTGTCTGCAGTCTCTGACCCTGTGTGTGTGTCCAGCTTGGCTGAAGCTGAGCTCATGGCTGCCTCTGTGTCCATCCCTGCTCCTTCCATCCCAGGTCACGTCTCTATTCCAATCAGTGGTTCCCGCCTCTATACCTGTCTCTGTCTTCTTCCCTGTTTTCACCTCTATGTTCGTTTTCAGCTCCTGGTTCAGTGCCCCGCCCATGGCCCTGCCCCGTCCCCTGGCTCGGTAACCGGTCCGGGTGTAGGCTTTGCTCCCGTGTCGGGTGCCCGTCTCTGCACCTGCCCACGATCTTGTCACTATCTCTGTCCCGCCCCTTGGTGCAGTGTCCGTGCTTAGTGCGGTCTCTACTCCTGTTTTGGGTGCCATTTCTGCACCCGCCCATGGACGCGTCCCATTGCTCCGCCTTCCTAGCTCCAGTGTCTGGTTCCAAGACAGTCTCACATCCCGTTTTTGGGTACCTCCCATGCACACGGTCAAGTCATGGTCCCGCCCCTTGGCTCTGTGTCTGACTCCAAAGCAGTCTCGGATCTTGTTTCAGATGCCGCCCCTGCCATGGTCATGTCATTGCCCCGCCTCCTGACCCTGTGTCTGGCCTGAATACAATGTCTGCTCCCTTGGGGGGTTCCTCCCAAGCAACCACCCATAGTAATGTTAATACTTCTGCCCCGCCACCTGTTTCAGAGTCTATCCTTAATGTAATCTCTGCTTCTGCCTTGGGTGCCGCCCCTACACCTGCCATTGGTCCACGCTCTGTGACTGCTCAGGGTCCCGCCTCCACTCCAGTCCCCAGCTCAGAAGCCAGTGCTCAGCTATTCAGCTGCCCTGAGGGGGGTCAGAGTATGACAAGACTATCTGAAGTGCTGGCTGGAGGGTTAGGGACCATAGTAAAAACGTAGGAACGTGGTTCAAATCAGGTGGAGAGGGGGAAGTTCGCCCCCAGTAGGCGAGAAGTTATTGATAGGTTACTAGAGATGGGCTTTAAAACCCAAGAAATATTCGCCTTCATAGCGCCTGTTGGTACAGGGGAAATTCGATGTTTCTTTTGTGAAGCCAGAGAGCCTGGATCTCTTCTGGCAGAGATACGAGGGGGGGTGGAAGGATACTCCCAGGTGGGAGGGGTTGGAGCCCAAGGTGGTCTCCAGGCAGTCCCTGATTAAAAAAATAACTATCCTTGTCAGAAATGAGTCTATACCTGCTGCTGACCTGATGATTTGGCTGAGTCGGTTTGGGGATGTGATGGGTCCCATGAGGAAGCAGCTAGATGACAGGGGAATATGGACGGGTGGGTGGTCCACAACTGTGAGGCTGAAAGTAGTGGGGAATGTCATCAGCCATATCCCATTATCAGCCTTCCTAGGTAAGGATAGGCTGGTGATATTTTATGCTGGCCAGCACAAGCTGTGTCACAAGTGTGGTAGCAAAGGGCATTTTGCATCAGGTTGTAGTGTTTTAAAATGCTCATTGTGTCAGGAGATTAGTCATGTGGCCAGAGACTGCAACCAAATCAGATGCAATCTCTGCCAGGAGCTTGGCCATTCTTACACTAGTTGTCCAGAGGCCCTGCACAACATACCTGGGATAGTGGAGGAATTGGCCAGAATGGAGGCTGAGGATGCCAGTGAGGCAATTGCAAGGCAGGTTTCTGTTGAGTCGGTGGCTGCTCCAGTTTCAGCAGCACCGTAGTGCGTCCCCTGATGTGTCTGTCTCTCCTCCTGTTGTAGTGTCTCACCCTGTTTCTGTACCTTCCCAGGTGTTGTCTGCCCTCCTCCCTCGCGTATCCCCCCTCTTCAGGTCAGTCAAAAATCCAGGAGGCAGCTAAGGGTGCTGGTGTTGGATGGCCCTTGGTGCCTGCTCCCCCCGGTGTTGCTCTCCCATCGCGTCGTTTGAGTCGGGAGAGAGGACTCTGTGGCTTTGGGTGGTAATCAGGAGGCTTTGGGTTCAGGCCCAGGGGTTGAGGGGGTAGGGGGACAGGACAAGGGAGATGGGTGGTCTGTGGTGGAGAAGGGGGTAGGAACAAGCCTGTGCTCTCCTCCGCCTCATCTTCCTCCTCATTGGAGGTGGAGGAGGTTTCTTTGTCTAACAAGTTTGGGACCTTGTCGGGGGAAGATGGGGGATATAGGTGAGTCCCTTTCCCCGTTGGAGGATGAGGAACAAGGGGGCTCTCTCAAGAGGGCGAGGCCCCTTCTAAAGTTGGGGAAAACAAAGGTTAAGAAACGACCATCTCAAGCATCTTAATGGCAGTTCCCACTTGCCAGCATCAAATCTGTAAGAGCTCATAGTACAGCTTTATTTTTGCTCAGCGTGATTGGAGCTGATGTTTTGTTTTTGCAGGAGACCCGGCTTAATTGCCTGGCCGATTTACATCTGGCAAAAAGAGAGTGGAGGTGTGGCCCCTCTTTTTGGTCTCTTACGGCTGAGCCTTACAGCAGAGTTGTGGTACTTTTTTCCGGCATGGTAACGTGCCGGCGGGTTCTTGAGGTGGAGATTGGAAGGCGTTTGGTCGGTGGACGTCCTTGTGAATGGGCAAGAACTGCTTTTAATTAATGTATACGGTCCCCAGTCAAAGTGGGACAGGAAATGCCTTTTTACAAAGATTAGGCCATTTCTTTTTACGTCCCGGCAGGTTGTCTTTGGAGGTGATTTTAACACCATCACTAGGCCCAAAGACAGGAAAGGCTCCAATGACAGGCTGGGATATGACAGCGTTTTTCTAAATGCGATAGTTAGGGCAGCAGGTCTAGAGGACGCCTAATTAAGTGCAGCCCGGACAGCATGGGGTTCACATATAGGATGAGGTAGAAGTGAGAGCCCGATAGATAGGTTTTTTTTGAAGGGGGACTCTGCCTTCTCGGCACCTGGAGTGTCAGGCAGTGGAGTTTTCCATCCACCTTTTATAACTGTGACTTTGAATGCCTCAGATACGCCGCTGAGAGGAAGGGGTGTCTGGAGGATGAATTCGGCTCTGCTAGAGGATGAAGAGGTGAGATGATCCTTTGAGGATTTTCTTCAGGCTCAGGAGACCATCCTGGATTTTTGTGGCAGTAAGTCGGAGTGGTGGGAGCTTACCAAAGTGCGGATCGGCAGGTTTTTCAAGGCCCTAGGTAAGAGAAAACAACGAGAGATTATATTGCCTATCAGCAGTTATGGAGGAAGCTTGACCGCCTTGTCTCTGAGGGTGGAGATTCTGGGGCAATCTCAGAGGTTAAGCTGCTCTTAAAGAAGCATCAGTATGATCGGCATGCCTCTTTGGTTCTGGAAAGGGATTATGGGAGAGTACCATTTGCCCGACCCTTACCAGAGCTGCAAACAGAGCATAGTGGTTAAAACGATCAGCGGTCTGAGAGATAGTACAGGTTCCATGACGAAATCCAGGTCGGGGATCCTGGAGGTCTCAAGGGCTTTTTTTGAGGATCTTTTTGAGAAAGAAGCACCTTGACCGGGCAGGGATGTCAAGCTTTCCTGGATTCTACACCAGGTTTGGAAAATAAACACTCCGCCTACCAGCTTGACAGGTGAGTTCACGGCTGCAGAGGTTGCCAAAGCGATAGTTTGGCCATTAAGAAGACGCCAGGGCCAGACGGTTTAACAGCTGACTTTTTTAAGACTTTAAATCCCGCTTGGCACCTCACCTAGCGGAAGTTTTTAATTGCTGTTTAGAGGAGGGTTCACTTCCTCCCTCCATGAGGAAATCAGCTGTGATTTTGCTGTCAAAAGGTAAGGACTCTTCGATGATTGAGAATTGGCGCCCATTAGCCTGCTCAATGTCGATAGAAAGATTCTGGCCAAGATTCTTTCTGGCGCCTGTCGTCAGTGGCAGACGGTCTACTTTTGCAGCAGCACCACTGTTTGGTCCAGGGCAGGAGCACCTTTTCAGCGGTGTTATCTGTCCGGGAGGCTTTGGTTGTGGGAAGTACTTGCTGGCGTTGGATCAGGCTAAGGCTTTTGACCGGGTTGATCATGAGTACCTCTGGCATCTCCTTGGCAGGTATGGCCAGGAGTGGAGGTTCATTGGATGGCTGCAGACACTGTATAAAGGGGCTGAGAGCTTCATGTTGGTCAATG